ACATACAGTTTCTTGGTCCAGAAGATACCAGACTTCGTACACATCTGCAGTACACACATAAGCCCCATGCAAATGGACGCAACTTTGTTGGCTAACAACTCCCAACATTGTTGGCTGTTACATGTTGCATCCGTTTACACGGCTTTCTTTTGTTCCGTGATCGCCGAAGCGTAGCGCAACAATGTTGGATCCGTTTGCGCAGCTCTTCCAACATTCTCGGGGCCACGAACGCGCATTAAACATGGTTTTCTTGGAGTCTGCGAAGTCTTCTTGGGTTGTGTCCTTCCCACGAAGCACTGCAGGTCCCAACATTGTTGGGCGTTGCTGCATCCGTTTGCATACATACATACAGAAACTTTATTTTTCCTCGAGTTTAAGAGTAGCCTTAATGAACTAATATTTCCGAAAGAAAACAAAATCTTACGGAAAGGTAATAGAAAATAAGACTATATACATTATTTGCAAAAACTATAAACTATACATTACACAATACTTTAAATTATTTACTATCTGGGCCAGTTCATTGGTTCACTGGTAGTAAGTTCCAATGATTGCTCTATTATTAGGAAAAAACAAACAAACACTGAAAAATTACACGACAGTAGAAATCAACCCTTAAGCACTGTCGCGTAATTCTTACGTGCGTAAATAACGTAGAGGCGATATTTGAAAGGTCACACGTTAACGGAAAAGTTGAGCGAGGTTCAACTTTTACGTTTAAACGTGACTTTCCATACATTACCTCTATTTCATTAACGCGCGTTGTGTTTACGTGCCTACGTACGTAAAAATTACGCGACAGCAGAAATCCGTCTCAAGGGTTGATTTCCACTGTCGCGTTATTTTTCTGTGCGAAAGCACGTAAAATTTACGCGCGTAGGTGAAATAAAGGTAATGTATTGAAGGTCACGCGTAAACGTAAAAGTTGAACGGTTTACCTTTACGTGCGTTCGCACGGGAAAATTACGCTACAGTGGAAATCAACCCTTAAGCGGTAAATTGCATATGCTATGGTTATAATCCATCTCACTCTGGTAATGAATATGTTCAATCATTTTCACAGAGAAAGAAGAAGTTGCAGACGAAATGTGTGATATGTCATTGAATGAGAAGGTATTGTATTTGATAGCTAATTGATCTTGTGTATTAATATGAAAGACGTCTGTTGACTCGAGCAGTTGGGTTTCCTATTTATATTCACGACTATTAGACGGGAATGGGTGTGCAGCTCAAACTGTGAGCCTGAGTGTTTATTTCCCAAGAAAATGCACCAAAATTTCCATCCAGCAGCAGCCTTCTGACGCTACTTAAGATTAATGTGAGTTATTTAGAACTTTTTATTAATCATTTTATCACGGCTATTGAAAATATAAGGTTTGAAATATATTTTCGTTTTATTTGAATTCAAACATACAGAATTTTTTACTTCTCACGGAGATTCATGGTACGGGTTTTCAGTAGCAGGTCTATATCGAGCAAAATTCAGATTTTATCTATTTCAAAGTCTTTTGTTTATTGTTGTCACACTGATCGATTTTACTAAAAACTGCATTTTAAAAATTTTGTAGCGATCGGACAAGGATAAAATCACTTTTAAGGTGATTGAAAACCATCAGTATGGTCAGGCCATGCTATTTGTTTTGGAAAGGTCATTGAATGAGCGAGTTTTGTTTTTATTGTTCTTTAGAGACATTTTTTTTGTGAGGATTGTTCTGAAAATTTTGATTTCGACCCACTTGATTTTCAAACTGTTTTGTGCAGTGTGAATAAGAAGGTACTCACTTGACAACACACACCTAGGTTGTTTATAAAGTCGGATTTTAATGACCAGTAACACAAATTGCGCTTTCAAGAAGTCCTTTGATCGGTTACATCACACAGATGAAATATTAAGTTTAAGCTTTTTTTACAATCCTGTCAACAACACTGCTAGATTTAATTTAGCTAAGTAGAATTGAGCTTATAGTTTCTCATTCGGTCTATTTTTTACGCAGGTTATAAATGATAATAACGATAATGGTAATGATAATGATGATAATAAATTATGCGCTTATATTGCGGAAATATCCATAACAATGATCAAATGCGCATTACATCAAAGAATTACACGACTATTTACAATACGAAGGACAATAAGAGTATGTATATTACTATAATACAAGATCTAAAATATTGATATGTATCTAGTAAAAATTCAGGTAATTATAAGCAGACTTGAAAGGTGTGTCTCAAGATGGCGAATAAAAATAGGCAAGTGAGTATTGTCGCGAAGTTGGCGCGCTAAAGCATTCCATAACTTAGGCGTAGCCACTTGAAAGGACCTATTGCCTAGTGTAACCTTAGTTCTAATTGTTGGCGACGCTAGCAAAATCCCACCAGACGTTCTGAGGCTATATTGGCCTTGCGATTCCAGAGAAACTACGATTCGTGACATTAGAACTTGGGTCAATTGAACGAATAACGTTGACATGTTGTGGTGGACGTCCTTTTCTGTCTCTCTTTCAATGTTGGCCTCGAAGGTCTTTTGTGAATTTTCAGCCGTGTAGCTCAAGAGTAGCGATTGCAACGGCCGCCGAACCATTCAGTCAGGCTTGAATGGTTTTCCATACAAATCCTTGTACATTTTGAACTTTTATTTCTTTCCTCGGGGTCTAGGAACTTGCGAATACGACTGATGTTATGTAAATGAAAGACAGCTGAGCTACAGAGCTTGCTAATATGAGTAGACATACTTAAGTTGATAATCAAACGGAACCCAGATTCCTGACAACTAGCTTTGCGTTCACTACAGACTCTTCAACAGTAATGCTATACTTATGTTAACCTTAGCTACATAACTGTTGCCTGGTACTGAGGAGCAAAATCTAAAACTTATCATCATTTAACATGAGTCGGTCTCTAATCATCCACTTCTTTAAGCGCAACAGCGATGAGTTTGTTTCAGTTCGGCTTTTTAGCGAGAAGAACCTTGCTTTTTTTAAAACTATACCTTTGAATTCATGTTACACAAGAATAAATTGTTTCTTCCCCCGCCAGTGGATCAAAGCTGGTTCCAGCTCCGTACATCGATGGGGCTTTGAACCCGAAAGTGGAATTTGTTAAACTTGCTTTTCTTCCATGGGCGACCGAAATATAATTCTAAATATGCTTTGAAATAATCATTAAGAACCAAGTAGGACAACGCAGCAACAACAAAAAAGAAGACAAGAGAAAAAGTAGGAGTCCTCCACAGGATATTAGGGACTTTAAGATAGGATGGCATGCCACTGTGCATGATCGGAATCACGTGACTGTTCATTTTTCCGGCGTAGTCCAGCGGCTACGGTGAGTTGTTGAGCGGTTTCGCGCAGTCGCTCGCATTTTGCCGTCTCGGTAATTCTACAATCTCGTCTTTTCCTAAAAAAAATTTCAATTCACCTGCTTTAAGTGAGGGGGAAGCTAAATATGTAAGTTTTCTCTAACTCAAGATTCACGCTTTAAATATACTCGAGCCACTTAAAGTTGTGACTACATTTTTATTTGTTGCCCAATCAAAATGGCAAAAACATCTTTGAGATAATTGAAAGCATGGCGATACTACAAACTACATCAATAATCGGAGAAGACCATCTTCTAAATCTAATAAATGAACTATTACTATTTATGTTTGTTTCTTTCCGGCCACATGTTTGATATAAGTATTCGTGGGCGGAAAAAAAACACTGTGCGACCAAAACTTTGTTCATCAATTTCATCTGACGTGCGTGCTTCCCCAAATACAGAACAATTCTTTTCATTATTCTTAAGATAAGGTCACATGCAAAATAATTGCATTTTTGTGAACTGAACATGAAAACAAGAAAATCTTTGCTTGTTGTATCTCCCTCTATTCTCTTGTAGTGTACTATCAGTACTCTGCAAACTTAACGTGCTATTTTTGCACTACTCATCCCAGTGCTACAAAAGGACAACGTTCGTCCAGCCGTAGTTTGCAGTCCGTAGTTGTATCTTAAAGTCCCTATTCGCTGCTGGTCACCCAACTGGTTTCTAACCGCGACTGGCACACTTATTTCTAGTACCGAAGCTGTGTGCGCGAGCGTAGCCCCATACCTAAAAAATGTGGTAATCTACCCATCCCAGAAATTTTGGTAATCACGTGACCGTCCGCACCACAGACCTACAATTGTAAAATTACTCAATCAACAGGTATGACAACCCAAATGCAACTCGAGGTTAAATCGAGGGGAAATCGCATAGCCACAACAACGACAACAATAACAACAATGTATTTTTTTAAAGAAATATAAAGTTACAATTTTATGTCCTGCAAATAGCTATAATGCTAATCTAGGCAGGACAAGACTTTAAATATAGACGTTATCAAATTACATAAGAAAAAAGAAAAGAAAAGAAATACAAAAACATACAGATAGAAATACCTTACATATAAATTCAAGTACAGGGGATTTTGTTATTTGAAAAGGACTAAAATTACAAGTGGAGGTATATACAACATATGAGGTTAACTTCACAAAATGTTCTATTAAATAATTCACATTCAAATAATTATCTTCATTACCTAGAACATTAAGGAGTAGTGATTTATTTTTTTTACGAAAATTAGGTATGTTGAGAGTCTTAACAGAAAGCGGAATAGAATTGCAGATAGACACACCAATTCTAGTAAAAGATGTTTTCGTTTTTTCAGTTCTAGAGAATTTGACAGAGAAACATTCTTTTGCAGATAATCGCGTATTATAATGATGTTTTGTACTGATTTTCGCAAACTTATCGAGAAGACTTTTAGGAGCTGTCTTAGCATGAACATCATACATTAAATAGCTTAACTGTTGAAAGAACAAAGACTGCAAAGGAAGGCAGTTTGATTCAATAAAAAAAGGGATTGCATGGTCTCTGGGTTTAGAAAAATAATTCAAACGCAGTGCACGTTTTTGCAGAATAAGTATCTTAGTGAGGTAGGTCTGTGGACAGTTCCCCCATTCACAGATACCATAATTTAAATAAGGAGCAATAAGTGCGTGATATAAATTCAAACAAGAATCGCCGAAAGGCGATTTTTAACTGGGCTGCAAAAGGGCTATTTTTTCTGAAGGGAGGGGGCGGCTATACACACTCAGGCTACCATAAAATCTTGTCAGCAACCATTGCATGCGACAGAACCTCATGTGAGACTGACCCTTTTGACCAAAAAAAAGAGTACCATTTTTAAGTGGGGGCTGTATAATAACTTTTAAATTCCACCATTATGAATAAAAATAAACAAGTTAGCCATTAATTCAAGGCAGGAAACAATTTGCATTATTTCCACGTACCCCTCCCCCAACCCCTCTGTGCCCTATAGTGTGACAGTAACGCGACTAATTTGACGTAACTGGAAATTCCAAAAATTGTTGTCCTTCTACGAGCATAAAATGCGACAGACTGAGCTGATTTACACTAGACAGAAATATTGTATTGTATGAAAACCAGAAGTATACTAAAACAGACAGTTAACTGCCCATTGATCGCGCCTGATCCAGGGGCCTCACTGACTGCACGGAGACTTTCCTGCGCTTTTCACAAACATGCGAACTCTAAAGTTCAAAAGCCACCTTCACAATTGTGTTTATCGCTGCCGTCAATCATAATTACGATCACAAGCAACGAACCTTGAAACAGAGAAACACACAAAACGGATCGAAATCCACAAATCACAAACCATGACCTTTTGAACCCGTGAAGTAAAGTTTTGTTTCCTAAGAGGTCCGTTAAGATGATTGACACCAGCGAAAAACGCAATCGTCGGTTGGCTTCTGAACTTCAGAATTCGCATGTTTGTGAAAAGTGCGATCCTAATTTGCGGTCCACAGTCTACAAGAAAACGCACTATTTTTTCCACAAGATGAAAAATATTCAGTTTTAAAATTTTCCTCATGGTATTTTTCTCTAACTTAAAGGAATAAAAGCCTTTGCATTTTGAGACCTAAAAACGTTTAAAGATTTCTCGCTCGCATGTTGCGTTCACCAGCACGCACTTCAAACAATGTAAATAGATGAAACGATCGATAACATATTTTTTACCTAATACCGATGCGAGTTAAGAATTCGCTCCAGTTCTGTTTGTCTCACCCAAGACGAACTTTTCTTCATGGAAGATAACTATGCCGCTTTATAACTCGTCCGAAGTTTTTGTGCCAGCTAAACAATGACACTATTCACAGTGACTCCTTGGATATTAAAAAGACTGAACGTGACGCACTATGATGCCTTTGTTTACTTCTGATCACATCTTCAAGCGAAGTCTCTCTTTTCGAGCGATTCATCTCAATGCACAATAATTGACCCTTATATTAGTAAAACCCTATGGTTCATTTATATTAATGCTGTTTTTGCCCCTCACATTGACTGTGTTCGTTCGATTCAAAACACCTTTACGAAAAGAAAGGTCGTATAAGTCATGTGTGTTTATATGTTTCGAGATAAATGGATTATACGCTTCTTTAAGTTTCCATTTTGCGGTGACTTCAGTTTACATCTCCATAAAATGGTAAAAGAAATATCAAGAAACATCACGAGAGCTGAAAACTTTCAAAGGCATGTTTCTGAAACTCACTAATGCTGACATCAATATAGCGTGCTTGCTGAATGGGGGAAAACACAGAATTGTGATCACAAGATCATGTACAAATTTAATGATAAAAGTTTAGCAAGATACAAATACAAACAAAAGCAAACCCCCTGAAACCTCGACGTGGGCTACAATTGTATGCTCTACTCAGTCACCAAACCTTGTCAGTAATAGCTCCTATTTTCCTCAAGTCGCTCTCTGTGAAGCTCGCGGATGGGATGTCCCGGTGAAGCTTTAAACTTGTGTCCGAAATTCTCAGAGTCCCTATTTTTGTCCGTGTCTTCTTTATCCTCAGTATCCGAAATTTAGACCTCCAAAGTGGCGTGTGTTGCATCAAATAGAAGGAAATATTTAAAGGAAAAGCCAGTTCTCTAACATGGCAAAGTTGTCACGTCCCTCGCTCATGGACGTGCGTAGTGCCATTCATCGGCAACTGAGTTGTTCGCTTCACTGACTACGAAGGCTTACAATCAAGTCTTCAGCCATAGTGTCGTCAACTGGTGAAATACCTTGCTCATAAATTGTGCTTCTTAACTGCTCATGTACTACATCGATCGATAATTCTCTCTTTGAGTTCACGAAGCGGTCACGGCGTTCCAAACGTGACGCTCAGAGTCATCTTTTAGTGTGAACCTACCGTGAACGGCGTGTCGGTTCGAATGCAACGCGAGCATTTCTCTGAGTTTCCCAGCGCCAACATCATCTAACTGACTTAAACTCGAACAATAAAAAAATTATACAGTGACTCCATGATCGAATCGCTTCGAACAACGCAAATAGCCTTCTTCAGGTTCGCAACGCTTTGTGGGTTTTTCAGGGGGAGCGCAGACGAGGTACAAAAAGTATCCGTGCAAGGGTTCATGCAAGAGAAAATCATATGAAACCATTTGTGAGAACATCGTTTCTCGGTACCAGACCCTCGTGTCTTCCCTCCCCCGGGAGGCCGTTTTTCGCCGCAGACGACCGAAAGCCCATTTTATGACTGGGCGCACAGGCAGCCCAGTAAAAAGATGCCGTGGAATGTAATGCCTCATTTTAGCACTAAATTATTCCAACCGATCTACTAATTTTGTGACTGAGCGGTGCATGATTTATGGTTTTATCAAAGTCTTCCCAATTAATTGCACGTAGGTCATTCATGAATTTATTAGCATTAAAGCTGGAATAATCCCTAAATTTAGTCTTTTTTGTATGTGGTAATTTTTGCTTGTTTACATTGACAATACAGACTTGCGAAAAATGATCGGTTGTATCGGTGACGATATTGCAACTAGAAATATTATACGTCAGGTTATTTGTGAAGATATTGTCAATTAAAGTCGCTGAGGACCCATACACTCTTGATGGTTTATTAGTTGTAGGAAGCATAGAAAAACTTTGCATACACTGAAGCAGTGTCTGGCTTTATTTACAGTTTTCATATTTTAGCAAGTCTATATTGAAATCTCCCATGAGATATATATTACTGTTATGATTACTGAAATACTCGAGGGAATCCGAAAGATAGTCAAGAAATTGGTCTGCATTATTATGTTGTTGGTAAACAATGCCACAGATATTTTTCTTGTGATTTGGTAGTAAAATATAGTGGTAGTGGTAGTGCTTGATAAGAGGAATCAGTAGAGCTTACTAAGACTCGATATTTATAGTTTTCATTAATAAGCAATAGCCAGGTAGTTGTGATATAAAATCAATAGATTCGCCTTCGCATAAATGCACTTTTTGCACTTTTTATTTGAGTGTCAATGTATTTACCACGAAAGTGCTAATTGGGGACACTATATTTTACGTCTCCTAATAGAGACGGGACCGCCATTTTACGTGGTCTCACGCGAAGGTCTAGCCGGTTGCAGTGCAAAAGAAGTACCTTCATTTCTCAGTCGTTTTAAGACCCTGAGTGTTGGTCCGGCCCCGGGAATCGAACCCGCGACCTCCCGCTCTGCAGTCAAACGCTCTACCGACTGAGCTAATCCTGCCACGGTCAAATCTTCGCTACCCGCGTCTTGTGAAGCTGAAACAACTAAGGAGTCCATGAAGACGAAAACGGAAAGTGGAAATTGTTTCTGTATCCGTGTTGCCTAAAGTATTAAGCGTAGATTAATTGTCATGTCTAGAGAAAGACAGGGAAAAAGAGAAAATAAGCGACAGGCCAGCGAGGCTCAACGATTTTGTGTTGGAAGAACAACATGAATTTGTAACGGCGGTGAGAAAATGAGAAATGTTAGCGGTCCGGCCCAGGGAAAAATGAGCGGCAATGAAAAAAAAAAAGGGAAAAAGAACATATACGACCTTTCCTCCATAAACCGTGTAACCAGGAAGTTTCAAGTTACTGGACATTTCACGTTATTGTAATCGTGCAAAACAACGGCAAAGAAATGTGCAAAAAAGTGTGCTGCACGTGCAAAGTTGTTTTTGTTGTTATTGTTGTTTTTTCACCGTTCCCGTTGCCGTCGCCGCTTAGCATTACACGAGTTTGTATTTAGTTTGAGCAAACCATAAGTGTTACCGAGAACTTCGCTTTTAGCCCTGCCGAAATCTATATATTATCCATAGATACAGAGTTGCCTCCTAATTCCATGACTACACTTAACCTACCTATTCTACAAGACAGACTAATAAACCAAATGTTTGACAAATGTGATTTTAGTGGTTATTACATCAATCGGAGAGGTCAAGCAAAAAACTGACTTTTCAGTGTTTTAAACCAAATAAGGTGAATTTATTTATACGTGGTAATTCAAACGACAATTCTCCTTTTCGTATTCATACCAATATAGTTCGTTTATATTTTCTTTGAAGAAACTCGTTATGACTAATGTGAATGTAGTACTGCAAAGTCCTGGTTGTCTAAAAAGTGGATACTATCCAGTAAAGAAAGCGATTAGTTTCCCTAATATCTAGTGAGGATAGCGTTATCCACCTTCTTAACAATACTCAGACGTTTCGGGACAGCTGTCCGTTCGTTAGTGCTGAGATTCGTGCAAACAAATTTGGTTTGGGTAAAAATCTCACTGATAAATGATCAGTACTTCCTTAACGTCTGAGAGTCTAGATCATTTGTTGCTGTTGCAAGATACTATCATCTTCAAACAGTTGCCTATCATTAGCGGTACATAGTTTAACTATCTCTGTAATCGTGGATTTTTTCAATTAATCTTGTAGCCCCTCAGCAGCCGATTGGATCACTTTGTAACCGATCCATCTTTGACAAGCAAAAAACCTCAAGTGATATCCTTCCCACCAGAGTTTGAACCGGTTCCTTGTAAACCGTTGTTCTTTGACTTGGCACTCAATCAGGTTCAGTTTCCTTCTCTGGCGCACAAAGTGGAGGAGAAGAAAGCAGCAGGCATTGCTGGGTATTTCAAGGGCTGGCTATGGGGATCTGGAAATTAATGAAGATGTACTAATAGTAATGAAAGATGGAATAAAAAATAATTCTGAGAAAAATGAATTTTTTCTCCTTTTATTCCGCGCGAAACAAATTATCTTGAAAATGATGACCAAAGAGTTAATGCTTGCCAGTCGTGCGCCCACCACAGGGGTCTAATTTTCCTTGCCGTCTTTCTCAGTCTTCAGTAACACGGCCTACAAGTTTCTTGTTTTCTATTCTATATCTTCAGTTGATTGGTTCGGTTAGGCTGTTACAGCTTATACTTCGAAACGTCTCCCTTGTATCAACTGCGATGAGGTTACCTTTTTTCATTGGTATAGCACAACTGATAGTGGCTGTTTTTGTTTTTGTTCACTTCGGGTGATTTCTATAGCAACCCCTCGCTGAAATCATAAAGCAGTCAATTGTTAGATAGCAATTCAAATGAACTACGGTAGTAATTTGCGATTTTTTTTTTGTGGTTTATGTGATTCTGGTCAGGTTTTGTTCCTAACAAAAAACCTGTTATCATCGGGTTATGTCTTCAATAGTTTACAAAGACGATCACTACATCAAGTGATAAAAGAATCAGAAAATTTAAGCAAAAATAACATGTCTTTTGAATGTCTTTTCTACGTTTAATTTTCCGTTACCGCAGAACAGAAGAGAGTATCTACAAGTGGAATATTAAATAACAAAATACTGTCCTCAAATCACACTTCGATGCAAATTTTTTAATGAAGACTTTCTTGCAACTTTTGTTGAATTTTTTGACGTCTCATAAATGTAACAAAGACCCCATGGTGCCAAACCATCTGTGGACGGGGAACAGCTGCGTTATAATATTACGCCATTGGAAATTAATGTTGCATTTTGCACGAGGAGTCCATCAAATTTTACAGTGTGAGACAAATATTAATACAAGTTAAGTTCTTGAGCATCCTCGGAGACCCAGGGGCAGTTAGTCGGGTCGATAAAATGTTCGTGGTGAAAGTTTACTGTAAGATGGAGACGAGCTCGTCTCGATCTTACAGTAAACTTTCACCACGAACATTTTATCGACGCGACTAACTGCCCCTGGGTCTCCGAGGATGGTTCTTGAGGCAATTGTTAGCGACAAAACGTAGCCTTTTTCGGTGTGTATTGTGGAATAGAATTCCATCACAGCTAGTTTTCAGTGACGATTCCGTAGCTTTACTGTTGTTCCAAAATCTTGTTTAACAATTTTTTCATTTCCCCGTTTTTGATATTTCTTCCCTTCGCTTGCCTCTTCATTATCATCAAGGCTAGTTCCACGTCGTCTGCCCAGTTATCACAAATATTTTCACTAAACTTTTTGTGAACATCTCTCATTTTACAATCGATCAATTCTTCTTCTGTGCGAACGAGTAGATACTTTCTGTCGTGACCTTGATCTTGAGAATTTGAAGAACTTGAACTCACTATTGAGTCCAAGGAGGCTGTTGAACTTCTTCTCGTTGTGCGTATATCTGGGTGCCCTTTTTTCACATCGTGCCATAAACCCTCAAGATATCTTTCCATAGTCTTGTGCGTGATCCCTAACTTGGCATGGCTTTCATCTTCCCAATCATTTTCTTGCATTGTATCCATAAAATTTAGTCCGGGATCAGTACTACTATTCTTATTGATATCACGAGAGCCAGAATCCACCTCATCTGTTTCCATACAAGTAGCGTTTGCTGTTTGTTGCTCTGGAGCTGTGTCGTCAGGTGAGCTTAATCGTGAAGGGAAACGCGTCCATTTTCGTTGCGGCTGTGGAGTTGGAGAGGGCTTTATCGGGACAGATTTCTCTCGCTTCGCTGTCGTTGTTTCCTTTTTAGCGCCCAATTGTCCTGTTTTCTTCGCATCCTCTAGAGGTTTTTGACCCAGATTCTTGATACCTGTCAATGTTTCACCAGGGTGATCATCGCTCTCGCGTTTTATTTTTGGCGTTGTATCCTTTTTAGCGTCGCCCAAGTGCCAGTCTAAAAATTCATCTTGTACTAGTTCCTCCAAGAATGCCTCGGTATCTTTGCCGTGAACACAATCCAATAAACTGTCTGATTCAACACACTTGTGCTTTTCGACCGACATTTGCAATGAGGTAATGGAACCTTAAGTTGCTTCAGAAAAAAAAGTTTACGAATAATATTTAACGTCGGAGCCGTCGAAGTCAATAAAGATCTGTTAAGTTCCTTTGACAGGTGTTTTGATCTTCAGTCACTGCCAAAGTAAAGGCCCTGGGGACAAGTTTAATGCTTGTATATTAGGGTCATTCATTTTTTGTGAAAGTTGAAAAATGAATAATGAAAATCTGTGTTTATTTTCATTTTTTTTAATTTAAAAAATTAAAAATATAAATTGACAATTGATTTTCATTTTTCATTTTCTAACATGGACAAATGAAAATCTGTGTTCAATTTTTATTTAAATAAAATGTAAAGCTAAGTTAAATATGTAGATGACGCTACAGTCATGGAATTTGTTCCCAGGCTTTCTGCTTCATATTTGAATTTTACTGTT